AAATGATTTGAGTAGAATCATGCTATCAAAGGTTTACATTTCAAACAACCTTCAATTGATTTGCAATATTGTGCAAACATTAGTTGATAACTAACTTGCATTTTACAAGGTTAAATCTTACTAACCACAGTTTCTCACAGTAACTCTGAGAAGTACACTTCAAAACTAGTTACTTATGAATAGATTGTTAACATTAGGATAGGCCTCTTCAGAATTTGACAAAATACTTTTTCTAGTTCTGTTTGATTGCGTAATTTAGAATTAGTTGTATTTTCTTATTTTAGTTACCTACTAAATATATAATTTGTACTCACTATTGATTGATCACTGGGTGGTGATCAATATCATGTGTGTTAAGTCATTATTTAGTGCAGATCGAATACTATCGATCATGTTGCAATGTGGCCACCAATCTTTTTGTACTTTTTATTCGCTTATTATTAATTATGAATCTTCTGAGTATCATGAAAAATAAATTGTTTTTTTGTTTTTTTAATTAAATTTTATTTTAACTCATCGACTGTAATCATAATTTATTCCAGATAAGAAATAAGTACAATGTACACATGTATGAAATGACTAAATGTCCAATTCATGATTTGAATATCACAGAAGTGAAAGAGTAAGGGAAAGGGAAAATATGGAACAAAAATTCAAGTGAAATACATAGAATTATAAAGATGTGACCTTTCTGTGAAACTCTATTAAGTATTTATTAATGACATCACATACTGTCGTAAATGTGGAAAAAAAAACATGCAGAGAGGTTGTGAATGGGTGATAATTTAAAATGCTTTATACTAAGAAGAGAATACTATCTAACGTTTCTTATTTTTAATGATTACCTAATTAAGGTCAGTTCAACAAACATTACCAATACTTGTTATTCAAAACATACTTATTTCATACGTTAGTTTCTATGTGAGTCCAGCAGTTCGGTAGATAACACAATAGGCATTTGAAGAGAAAGATATATTGTTTAAGTGCCAGTGTGAAAATTACTCCTGGGATGTAAGTATATTCAGCTGATGAGTTTGAACATCCATCCTGAATTCCACCGCTAACCATATTCTATCTATTTTATGTTAATCCCCATAAACTTTAACTGATAAGAAATCAGTTATCATGTGATATTCTCAAGTAAATGAGTAAAAGTGCCAAATATTTGGGTAATACAAACTTTTTTGATTGAGATCACGAACCGATTGATGTTAAACGACCATTGAAATCCTGAAAGCACTGGACGGCCGTTTCATCCTATAGTGGAACTCCTCAGCGGTGCATATCCACGATCCCGCTCGCGGCATTCGGTTCATTATCTCAATCAAAACTTTATAATCTCCACAACTCTATACTGATAATTACCATGTGCTCACTAATGACTAGCTTCGTGAGGGGATTCTCGGAGTCCTAGTGAGAAGCCGTGACCAGTGGAGCTAATCCATGTCGAGTAGAAACAGGTATCTACCTCAGTAAAACGGAAGATAGTCACGCGATTTCGCGGATTGGTTGAGATTAGTCATTAACACCGTTGGATGCCAACTCAATGGTATGGAGTTTAATCGTTAGCGTGCGAGACTGAAGGCCCTAAGATCGTGGATGTGCGTTGCTGAGTAGTCCCACAATAAGATGAAACGGCCGTCCAGTGCTTCCAGGTTTTCAATGATGGTCTAACATCAATCAATTCATGATCTCAATCAAAAACATAATAATCTCCACAACCCTATACTGATAATATAAATTATTTTAAATAAATTAATGAATACATTAATTTAAAAAGTGCTGTCACGAAATAATTTACTGAATTCAAAAAGATGGCAAAAGCAAAAAACAGTACATCTTCAGGAAGAATATAATTTGTGTAAACTTTGTTTAAATGTTAAGTGTTTGATATATCTACTAAGGTATTCAAATCTATCCGATCAAATTTATCTCAATGACAATACAATATATCACATAATTAACAAATCATGCTTGAACCTGGTATGATGAAAGTTGACTAAAGCTATTCAAACTACAGGTGACATGTTCAACCCCTCAACTATATACTTTATTCATCTAATTAAATAATATCATATTTCTTAATAAAATTGATATCTCACAATAGATTGAACTAAACCCTATTTAAAGTTGGAGTCCTATTACTTAACACAATTAACAAAATTAAGCCTTCGAACACTAAAAAATTAGTTAATGTTATTCAATTCTAGTAATCATATTATTTAGGCGATTAGAAAATGATGGTGTAATGTTTCAAGACCATGTTGCTGTTCTAAAAACAAATCACTTGGTCGACAGACAAATGTATTCTTTCCTTAGTCCATTATTGGCTATCATAGAATTTTCTGATGTTTATAACATTTTGAAAGTGATTTTCACATATACTAACATGTCATATATGTGTGTTTTATTATTTAAAAGGATATATATTCAACCTTAACAATAAAATTCGAGTGTCAATAGTATTATTCATGCAAGAAGTGAAAATCTACTTGCCAATTCTACACTAGACTGACAACAAATATGTTCACCTTTTTTTTTTCTTTAAAGTAAAAATTTTAATCTTTCAATACATTTCTCTCTTATCCCTTTTTTCTCAATCAATTTGATTTTATTTTACTCTCAAATTACTAAATATTTAATAAAAACGATATTCAGTATCATTTGTGTTAAAGATTTTTAACTTTCATCTTTTCTCTCACCCCAAATGCTCTCACATAGCCATATGCATACAACCACTTCCAAGAAAGTCCTACTCACTGCATTCTGGCAGTGGGGGTGTTGTTTACGAAATTGAGAGGACGAAAAGCGAATGTCCGGGTTAGTGGACATGGAGAGTCCTCCTAGGGGAGTTGGAAAACACTGATTCCAAACCAATGATGCACATGGGCTTCAGGATACTGTAAGAACAACTGGCGTATGAACAAATCGTTGGTCACCTGCTACCATAGGACTGCATCTTCTGACGCTGCCCCACTGCTTTATGGATTAGACCTTTAGGTCGAAGGCTACGGGTGTGGCCCCCTAAGAAAACCACCTGGTTCGGTTTGGGCATCCGGGCAGTATCCCACTCCTCACACAAATCGAATTATGTATGTGGCGTATACCTGTTTGGTGCCTCCATGTACCGATATTTATGTGTTTAAATAAGTAACAATGATAATAAATAACACAATCTTTTCTATCGGAATTATTTTTCTTTATGAGTGTTTCTCCATTAGTATTGATTCAAAATGACTTTTTTCGATTTTACGTGAAACTTTAGAAATATATGATACATTTCATTACTTTCACTCTTGACTCACATTTAGGATTCTCCAAGATATCTTTGTTATTTTACGTTCATTTCTAGGTAACAAATACTACCTATCATATTTTTGAATTTAGAGACAAAGGATTTCATTACTTTCTGAATAAGGCTGTTATTTTCTTATCATTTTCAATTATGAAATTTTAAGGCATTTAAGTAGATAATAATAAACTTAATAAGTAGTATGAATCTATTGATTTTATAAATTTTGTTTTAAATCCAACAAAATGAAAAATCTCAATAATTGATTATATCTTATATTCTACTTGGTGTTGTTCACTTGTATCTTCCCATTGATTATATTTTATAGAACAAAAATCATGTATAATTTAAAATGATACTAGAAATATACGATCCTATAATTATTTATTCAAAGTGTTTTGATGTTGATTACCATTGGGTTTTATTGGTTTGAGTAGTTTAACACAACGTGCTCAACAAGAAAGTTGCAATCTTTAAATAAGATTCCCTGTAGGGTCGTTAATATTGTCCATTTCACCTTAGTATACCAATCAACGTCGAGGTGTATAGAACAAGCTGTGAAACGCATATGGAGAAATTCGAACACTTCACTTCTATCTGACGTTTGTGCTGATGATGTCGTTCAGAAGAACGATGAAAGCTCCACGACCAAACCATCCAGCACAGAGAACAAAACTTCATCAAAACCTTGGTATACTAATTGATATCAAACCTACCATGAAATTTAACTACAGTTCACAGTTATAATGAAACCTAGTTTTGCACGAATAAAATAATTAATATACCTAAGAGCAAATTTTTTAAAAAAAATGAGGATAGATACACCAGAAACCTATTGATGTTTAGATGATCATTAGAAACAAAATGGTGACAAATTAACAATGTACGTTTCAACCAAATGTTTTAGAAAATTATGACAATGAACAATAAATTTAACAATGTAAATGATGACGCAATATGAATATTACAAATCTGTTGGTGTATTTACTTTATATCATGAATAATAATCATCTAGAAATGCCATGAAAACTATTTGTACTAGTCTGAATTTATCATTATTACACTCTTATAGCATGACACAGAATTAGGCCTAAAATATTCAAACTTTATAGTTAACATCATATCATTGAGTCCTTAAGTTACTTTGTTACGTCAGGTTAAAAATGTATGACTGTAAATAACCAGACAAAATACTCATTTTGGTTGAGATCATGAATCAATTGATGTTAGACCACCGTTGGAAACCTAGAAGCACTGGACGGCCGTTTCGTCCTAGTATGGGACTCCTCAGCAGTGCGCATCCGCGATCCCGCATCCCGCGGGATTCGAACCCAGGACCTACTGGCTTCGCGCCCGAGCACTTAACCATTAGACCACTGAGCCGGCATCCAATGGTGTTAGTGTCTAACATCAATCAATCCACGAAATTGCGCGACCAACTTCCCGCGGGATGCGGGATCGTGGATGCGCACTGCTGAGGAGTCCCATACTAGGACGAAACGGCCGTCCAGTGCTTCCAGGTTTCCAACGGTGGTCTAACATCAATTGATTCATGATCTCAACCAAAAACTTAACAATCTCCACAACCCCCATACTGATAAAAATACTCATTGTTCAATGATATAAATATGAGAGTCAGATGGAAAAGCAATAATAAAAAGAAAGATGTGCTTTAAAATGAAAGATAAGCTAAAAAAAAATAACCTACGGTAGTTTTTGACAAATTGGACGATGATTGGTTATTTATTTCAAAACTGGATTGTTTCGTTAAACTTGATCTAGTACTTATACCAGTACATGTGTTGGGTATTTTGTACGCGCATTTTTTGTGAAAATTTTGACTACAACCTGAAAATACATTGACAATTAAAAAGGATAAATGAATTTACATTATCTAAATAAAATTCTAAAGGAACCATGTTACACATTTGTAAATAAACATTACAAACTATGTTGATTTCTCTTAGAATACTGGAATACTTGACTGTCTATGAGGCCCGCCATTGTTAATTGTGCCAATATTATTATATATTGTGATTGATTCAGCTTAACTATGTTGGGTATAAAGCAGCCATTCACCGACATCATTCTATGATTGTTGCACAATATAACAGGTAGAATACATAACTCACAAGTTAAAATGTATTGTACCTACTCTGTAACCTACATGTTCTGGACATGATCTCGTTTGGTATAATAGATGGTTACTCTCTGGAGGTCATAAACCTCGACAGAACAAATAAAATAATTCTATATAAAATAAAATGGATCCTCCCCACCATCTGATATATTCAATGGTAATGAATAGTTTAAACTCCACTGACAGCTCAATGTCTACGCCGACTAGTTGGCTTATTTATTAAATTAAATTCTTATCATCCTTTTTTCCAAATTAATGAGTTTAGTAAATAAAATAAAATTTTCTACGAAAATTTTTGGAATAAGTAGTATATAAATAAAAGTAGTAAAGACTACAAAACAAAGGGAAGTTTAATACCGCTATAAAATGTTTTCCCGTACAATTAGCTACCTTAATAAATCTAAACAAAAAGCAGACAATTATATATCTACAACAAATTGGATTCAAAGTATTCCTCTGCCTTCTCTTCGGCTACATTTAATTCAATGAGTCCACATTTTTTTTTAGAAAAAATGAATTACATTCAATAAGAATCAGCACTTAATCTTCAACGACCTTTGTGAAGAAGTGGATTTAGAACTTTCTTTTCTTTAATTAAGCAATTAAAATATCATGAGTCGAAATCGTGTCTTTTTTACAATAAGGTGAAGTTTAAATTCATTTTATAATAAATAAGAAAGGTTAGTTCAGCAAAGAGTTCTCTTTTCGGCGAAGTCGTTGAAGACAATGGTGTATGGTGGTGCAACTTCTTGGATTGATTGAAAATAGACATTAACACCGTTGGATTGTAGCCGACTCAGTGGTCTAATTGTTAAGTACTCGCGCGCGAGACTGATAGGTCCTGTGGTTCGAATCCTGTGGGAGGCAGGATCGTGAATGCACACTGCTGACGAGTCCCATACTAGGATGAAACGGCCGTCCAGTGCTTCGAGGTTTTCCACGGTGTTCTAGCTTCAATTAACTCATGATTTCAACTACTGAAATTACTAAAATCTCCACAAAACCCCTCTTGAATATATGATTGCCCTCTTTTTTGTATAAAATATTCGTCCTTCTTTTTTTCAAACGTAAAACAAAACAATAACAAATGATCCTTTTTAAATCGGATAATTAAAGTTACACTTGAAAATGATGTTTTTCAGACTAAAGATAAAATGTTCAGTTAGAAAGTAATAAATTATTTTCCCTACTTCAGGACATAAATTACCTCCCTTGTTAATAATAATGATATTAATGATAATAATAATAATAATGGCTGTATTCAGTATCCCATTTTCATTACAATATGGGATTCTCGACATGCAACACTTCAACAAACTCCTTTTACTTTGCATATATCATGAAGAGGCATCTTCTTTTGTACACATATATACATGAAATAAGTAAATAAATTATTTAAAATTAAATGAAATCATTATAAGGTAAATAAGAATATATACAAGTGAACTAGCAACATATTTGCTAATATAACATTCCAGTTAAACTAATGCTTACTACCATTTTATTTCATGGTAGATGTATTAAATATGATAATGTAGATCATTTTCTACTCTTGTTTGCATGTATGAATTTTAATATATTTGCTTTTTGTTCTGTTGGAAGTGATATGAAGTGGAAAGATAGAAAATGAAGTGAATTCTTTGTGTCTAATGAAACATTACTTGTTAACTGTTTGCAAAATTTCAAATATCTATCTACAATCATACTCATAATGATATCTTAAATTCACTATACTTATTACTAGACGCCTTCCATACTTCATTCAACACAGTAAAAGTTTTTTCTTAAACTTTCAAGAAAAATTATGTATATTAGGTAACACATAAGAATTTGCAAATTTTAATAGTTAAGGTCGATAAGTGCCAAAAAAAAGAAAACAACACAAACCTTCCCGAGATAATAAGTTCAATGTACAACTTACTTCACTATTAACAGAACATGAAAGACAAATAAACATCGGTTAATTATAACAATTATTCTTATCAATGTTACTTTGCTATAAGTGTTTTAATTTAGAAAATAAAAGCATAGGAATTCATACAATCCCAATGTATACTAAAAAATTACATTGTGTATATAAATGGGACGACAACAAAAAAAAATTGTCATGTTAATGAATTCATTACAATAATAATAGAACATGAAAACTGAACAAACAAAAAAGGAGAAGAAAGTGCCACTTGCTAAAATAGTTATGTACAAAATAAAAAAAACAACAGTATTACAAATCAGCTGAATAATCGCATAATTATAAATGATTTATTGGATTGACTATTATTCATATAAATACCCAGAAACAATAAACATCCATTGAGACATAAAATAAGTAAGACTAAATAATTAGTTTAGTGAAAAAACATATTCTCTTAAACTTTTTATCGTATCTATACGACGGTTTTAAATAGTAATCTATGATATGTTTGTTCACATACTGACTCCTTGTTATATATATATATATAATAGAACAATAATAGAAAATCCTATTAGTATGATTATTTTTAAGAAACTGAGTGAGATTATTGTACAGATCTCAACAGTTTGCAAAATTGCGCTGTTGAAATTCAGGACTGTAATCTATCAGTTTTTACCAGTATGGGGTTGTAGAGATTGTTGAAAAACTCGAAGTACTGGACATTGTTTCGTATAGGACATCTCAACAGTGCGCATTCATGATCCTGTTGGCGAGATTCGAACCTAGGATCTTTGGTCTCGCGCGCGAACGTTTATTGGCCTATATTCATCATAAGCGGATTTTGTCGAAACACCTTTTATCACAAGTTTCAATAACCGGAAATTAGAAATCATTATTAACATCTTTAGTTAGTGGTTATATGGAGCCAGTAGTTCAGTGAATAATCTGTTTAATTTTAAGTGACAGACAGTGAGTTCGAATTCGAAAATGAATATTAAATTTGGAATCCAAATAAATTTAGCCGACCAGTTCCAAACAAGCCGAAAGCTATAACGTAGATAATGACAATATAATTTAGAATATTAACAAGCAACTTATCGAAATCGTAATGATCATAACCAGTGTTTAGGGAAAAGATTTATCTCACTGACTAAATTTATAGTTTTTATCACATTACATACATTTTCTTTCTTTTTTAGAATGTTTAAAAGTATCCTAATGTTTTCATGTCTAAGCTGTTCAAAAACTATTTCCATAAGGCATATTTTAACTGATTAATAAAAACTACTGATCAATCAAGTATTGACGTTATCATCAATTAACATAATACCGAAATTTTATTGATTCACACATACCATTTCTATCCATAAGAATAGTTGTAACCAATGAATAAAAGAGAGAGAGAGACATTAAAAAAAGGAGGGTGAATAACAACAAAATTGATTCAACGAAACCGGAAAACAAAAAAATAACTCTTGTGAGAATAACTGATAAGTGTTAATATTTAACAGATGTTTTATTTTACATTAAAATGTCTGTTTAACCTATTTGCTCAATGATTAGTATATGGTTGTTTTTGGCTGAAGTCTAATATCAAATACCATGTTAAATCACTGGTTTATAAACATTCTTAATATTATTTACTATCATACAATACTTACTAGTTATCTGAATCATTTCACTTGACATGTAAGAATTTACCTGAACACAGATTTATTTCGGTTAAGTTACATTAAAAGAACATTAAGTTATACAAGTGATTCTTTGACGCAAGTATTAGATTTACTTTTTTAAATTCTTATGATTTCTGTTTTGTATAAAATGCAAAATATTACTGTACAAATCAGGTTGGATAAGATTCAATGCATGACTTTAAAAGCTATTTATAATTCAATCTGGTAATTAGTTCCGGCTAGATACATATGTATACTGTTAATAAAATGTCAAACAGTTGATTGATATTAATTTCACACTCAAAATGTTATTAATGTCTCTTAAATTGACGCCGATAATTTCTGCCTCTTATACTACTATCTTGATACCATAATTATATTTCCTCTCTTAGCCTCAATTACTCCAAAAAGACAAATTTTGAAAAGAACATTTGCTAGGTAAAGCTAAAGCAAGAATAATTTAAGAGAACACTACAGTTGTATAAAAATATCTACAATGACCGTAAAAATAAACCGAACATTCAATGTACCTGAAAATCTACTTATCCAGAAGGAAATAGAGTGTTTAATCCAAGTAAAACATAAAGCTTAACTTCTATAGAGATAATATTTAAAACGAGAATATAAAAATTTAAAGAATCGATAAGTAAATATCTTTCTAAGGATTCAAGATTCATAACAAGCTATGGGGATAATATAGCGCTTTTTTGATTCGTATTAGAATTTCATAAATAATTAACCTTAACTGCATAGTTAAATAATTAAAATACTCTGTCAACTAATTTTAACCAAACTCAATAATAACTTAACTCAAATAATTACGTAACACTAGATTGATCACATTTTTAAAAGTCCATTTTGTTTTATTGTTTTAAAATAGTATTTAATTTCAAAATCATTAGAATGATCATTTTATGATTAGTAGAAATATAATATTCATTTATTTATTTTAACACATAAACATTGGTTCAAAGGGGCACCGAATACATATGCGCCACACAAGTCACTTGAATTGTGTGAAGGCTGGGATACTGCCCGGGTGTCCAAACCAAACCAGGTGGTTTCTTTAGGAGGACACACTCGAAGCCTCTGATCTAAAGATCTGATCTACAAGGCAATAGAG